CTCATATAGATGTTAAACAGCATTGGGGAGATGATCGACCCCTGTGGGACCCTGCAATTGAGGCTCCATGGGGCTGACACATTCTCCCCAAGCTGCACTCTCTGGGGACGGTCTCTGGGGACATACTATGGCATGTGTTCGCTGGATTTCATTGTGTGTGGTGTGTTTCTATGCCTTATTTTTCTTTATGTGAGCAGTGTGAGTGAATATTTTTCCCGTGTGCATTTCACTGAGCCCCAGGTTGTCTTCTGTTAAATTAGCATCTTGTTCTGTGTGGGTGATTTGATGATTACTGGAAGTGCTACAAGTTATCCAACCTTTTCCCTATTCTCAGTTTTCTACTGAGTTCAGAACATTACCATGTTTCCTCAAAAATAAGACAGGGTCTTATATTAATTTTTGCTCCATAAATGCATTTGGGCTTTTTTTCAGGGGATTTTTTAAAAATTTATGTACAACAATCTACATTTATTCAAATACAGTCATGTCATCTTCTTCTGGGTGCTGCACAAGGGCGGAGGGGTGGTTTCACTCAACTGGGGCTTATTTTTGGGGTAGGGCTTATATTACGAGCATCCTGAAAATCATACTGGGGCTTATTTTCAGGCTAGGTCTTATTTTCGGGGAAACAGGGTATATTTTCACAGAAAATTGTTGCAATGCTTGCTGTGTAACAAGCCCCAATAGTACATTGGCACTGATCATTTTGAAAGCATTACATTACATTTTACACTATTATTATAGCAAGCAACATCAGCCATTTACCCCACAGTTGATGTTGGATTAGGCGTGAGTAAAATTCAAATAAAAATTGCCAACTACATGGCTGATTATTTGTGATTGATGTTTGTTTCTGCAGATTTATTGCTTAGATTTTTATTTTGATATATTTGAATACTGCTTGATACTGTATAGTCATGTTGCTTTATTGTTGTTTTTTGTTGTGAGCCACCGAGGGCAGGGGAGAGATTTCTGGAAGGTGGGGCAAGAATGTCCAAAATTAAATAAATGAAACCATTTCTATAACCACTCTTAAATGTCCAAATGTAACCATTTAATGGTGCTGTATCTTAAAGTTAGAACTGGGTCATTAAGAACGTGACAGGAATTTTATTTTTTTCAACATGGTAGCAAAGTGTTGGGGTCCATCAATGCTATGTCTTAGCATCTATGATTAGGTGTTCTACAGAGCTATGGTGAAAGCCTGGAGACATGAACCTGATTTGTGCCTATGTGAGAGACTATTTTGGGAGCATTTTAAATGAAGAATGCAATAGAAGTGCAGCATACGAACACAGCAACAATATCCAAAGTAACAACTCCTTGTTGCACAGCATGAGGATATATCCCACCTTTCCTCCATCATGGGCCTCCAGGTTGTGACGTAAGAGATTCACAGGTGGCTCTCCTATTATACCTCATTAGTTTCAACTAAAAGGCTGCACCATGTGTCTTCAAATAGAGCAGAACCTTTTGTTCTCTTCTTTATTGCTCAGCAGTGTCTTCAACCAAGACTACAGCCTTCAAAGGCAACAAAGACATGCCTTAAGTAGATAAAACAAATACTTGTTTATGCTGATGAGGTCAACAGGATTAGCCTTGATTTCTATCTGACCTCTTTGTAGAATTTAGACCATGGGACCATAAGTTTGCTTCTTGAGTCTAATACACTTTTACAGGAAACTGCTGGGGTGTATTAACATTCCTTGAGTCATTAACAAAGATAAACCTTCTTTCATATGCATGCCTTGACTGGTTTCTAGGGAATAAAAAGCCCCATTAAATCCCCCCTGCAAAGAAATTCTCTAGTTCTCTTTAATGTCTTAAAGAAGACATTGTTGTGTAAAAGGTAAGTAATTATATAATCATTAAGGCATATCTCATGTAAAACTTCCTATAGTGCCTAAACATGGAAGTATGTTCTATGTATATAATTTTGATGATAACTTAGGGGTTGAGCAGGAACCACAATTTATACATAGTTAAGTGCTTTTAAAGAGGCACCCAACTTGCAGTGATCCTAATAGGGTTTTCAAAATATGTAAGGACTGGTTTTATCACTGCCAAATTTCCATGGCTGAGCAGGGACTTGAACCCAGCATCTCCTGCATCCTAGCCCATCATTTTATCTAGAGCTCCAATTCAAACCAGGATAAACTAAATTGCTAACTGTTTAAAGAGGGGTTCTGAAGTGACATCTATTCGCAGCAAGAGACGTGCCTTAGTAGTATCCTGAAAGGCTAACACATTTATTTTGGGATAAGATTTTGCATCCAAGAAATCTTGTGCCACAGTAAAACAGTTAAATTCTTAATGCACCAATCTGCACTTAATAAATTTATATGCACAACTTCCTTACGTACCTCTATGAATCACAACTCTAAAAATAAAATATATAGCTCTTGTGAAATATTTTACTGACAAAAAGCAATTATCAATATACAAGAAGGGTTTTATTTCATCAAAATTCAGCACCTTGCATTCCTCCTGCTAGATTATGGTCTGAAACCCAAGTATCTATTCAAAAGTTTGGGAATTGTGTACTGTATGTGTGAAATCACTTTTGCATTCTTCCCCTTCAAAAATATATTTGTACACTTTTCTACAATTGCTCTGCAGTTCTGCAACAAATGCATCACTGTGTCTTTCCACATACAGTATACTGTATATCTAAAAGATACCTGAACATCTACTATCTAGAATTGATGGTATTACATACCTGGAAAACAGTGCTTCAGCATCCATTATTATACTATGAAGGTGGTGTTTGAAGATGAGCCACATTGTAATTACATATTTTAAAACACTAGTAATCAAACACCACCTCTTGAGGCCAGGTTCCAAATAGCTTCACATCAAGAGGTGAAACCAAGATTTTGCAAATTCCCAGCTGGATTTCAGATTGTTCTCTCTGAACCAACAGATGCTATGCTATCTATTTTAAAGAGTTTTAATATGAAATTATTTGTGTCCAAGATTTGGTTAAAACTAGGTAAGTCCATTTTACCATTTACCTTTCAGCAACTGTTCAGTGTAAAGAAGCCATACTCACCATCTTGTGTTTGCTCTCTGTATTTTATAGTCTAATATAAACTATAAACCTTGCCTTCACAACTCTGTTCTTTATTTTCCACTTTGATGATGAGAAAACAGAGGGGGAATTTGGAAATTCAGTGACAGCTTTTCTGCACTTGTACAGTGTCACAAATGATAACTCAGCAAACCTCTTTAAAAGCTTACATCACTGGGGAAAAATCCATTAATCTTTGCAAGAACTGTATTGCATACACAGTGAACACAATCCTGTTGGCGTAATTTTGTGGTGGTGAAACCTGGACAGGGCACCAGAAACATTTAATTTACACTAATGAAAAGCTTCCTATCCCCCTTATTTTAGGTTCTGGGGCTCCCTAGGCCACCCTTTCACCCTGGGGAAGCCTTTGGGAGCCTCTGGACGGAGGGGGGGGGAGCTGTTAAAAGGCTAAGGGTTCCGTCCTCTGCATCCTTGGGCAATCGCCCACTCAGACAAGGAGGCGGGGCAGGAAAGCCCACACTGCTGCTGGTGAGTGGAAGATTGCCTGGAGGAGGGAAGCACGCTCCTGCCAGTGAGAGGGTGATCACCCAGAGGAGATGAGGAGGGAACACCTGTGCAGACACCAGGCCCAACCAGGCCGAACCATGGTTCGTGCCCACCTCTAGTCCCAATTCTGTTTAATGTGGTTATCTGAAATTTTAAAACTTCACTAATTAAAAAAAAACACTAGGAGGCTGTTTGTCTCAGATTTATTATTCCAGAGGCACTTATATAGAAAAAAATCCTTTCATTTCTATAGCGCCTTTCTTCCAAAATCACTTTACAAGCTCCAGAACATCAACAAACAGCAATTATTTCCCATTGACATGGGAGCCACCTGTGATTAGCAGAGGACCGAATCACAGGTGGGAATGATTCATTCTTGCCATTTTTCACTTCACACCAAACACCCAGTTTAAGCAGTCATAACAACAGCAATCAGCGAACAAGATCATTACAGAAATTCATGGCTGCACCATGTTTATGAATCATTTTTGCATGGCACTTGAAAATTTCTTCCCTAAAAAGCATAATCTTGTCATTTCCTTGAACACTGCTCCGCATCATTTTGCCTTCAGACTTGCTTCCTCATGGGGTTACTATTTTTAATGCACTCTTAATTAATGACAAAGTATACATACTGGAACTTTAGATATTACAAAATCCTGGCATTTTCTAACTACCCAGTTCCTCTTGGCTTAAATCAAGATCTTTTCTCTGGGTAATAGCTACTGAAGTTAATCTGTTCTACTCTGACAATATTAACAGAGTTTGAGCTCAGTGTCATTATGAACCAGTCTTAATAATGGCAACATTTCTGAGCTATATAAGTAACAGCTACTTCCTGGTTGGTGACAAAAATGCATCATTCTTTTAAAAAATGTCAAGTCTACTATTACTCAATTTTAGTGCAGACCTATCTGAAGAATAGAAATATTTAAAAAGCAGCATTTTCTAATCTAAAAGGACAGAAGTTCCTTTAAAAAGTTCTGTTTGAGACGTCCAGTCTCTGTAAACAGCAACAACAGTTCATCAACATGAGAGGGACTATGTGGAAAAAGAAGTGTCAACTAGTAGCACAGAAACCTGCTGAACATTAAAAGGTACGTCTGCTTCTGACGTGAGACTGCTACCTAGTCTGAAACTATTGTGCCAGGTGGTCTACATGTACAATCCAATTAATATCTAATTTTACAACATGGTCTTGATATAGGATGATGGGTAGTGTAAGCCATCTCAGATTCTCAGAAATGGTGAAAATTTACATACATAGAAAAGCTATATAACAGCACCTGAAATCCTGTTGCGTACCTCTTCATGCGCAATGGTGATGATGTCATTATCACTGACAAATTGCAATTGACTGAGGGCAATTAAATGCCAATTAAGGTGGTTTTGAAGTGTATGTGACTCATACACAATGTGCTGAAGTCAAAAACACCCTAGGATTCTCAAAGAAAGCTTTTAATCAGTGGTGATTTGCCATGGGTAATGATGTCACTACCATTATACACATAGAGCTCTGCAACACAATTTAAAACATCAACACCTTACTATATCAAATATGAAGTGATGATAGGTGAAACGTTGGCCCAATATAAGTTGCTTTTATGCATCACTGCTAGTTTACCAGTTTAATAGCTGTTCCACTGATTATATGCATGAAACACATGAAGTTAATGGCATTTATAAATGTTAGAATAAAGCACCATCTTAGGAACAGTGTAAGGACAAGCTTAACTAGCTGCTTGGAATTTGACAGGTAGCATTTTTACTACAAAAGGAGGGATTGTTCAAAATTAACACATAATCACACATACTGATTTTATAACAAAAGGAAAAAAATGCAGCATCACATTTATTTGCATACATGGTGCATGCCTTCATGTAGTGCTTTTTTGTATTACATAAAATCACATACTCAGGCTGTTATCAAACTATAGTGCTTTTCAAAAATTATTGCAGATTGAATGGCAACTTATTATACATCCAGGTTGGTCAATCACTTTCTTCTCAGTTCTATCTAGAAAGGTAATTCTCAGCAGTGACACAATATCATCAAACGTCATTAACAACTGTTTCCACTAGAAAATTAATGTTCTTAAAAATCTGTTATTTGTGGTCTTGCCCATATGTACACATCTGCAACTACTTCATAAGAGACAAGCTTGTATAAATGTAAGAACTGAGCGATTTTTATGGAAGAAATTTATATGAAGAAAACGATATTCAGGAAGAGCTGCTATGTCTCAGTTTAAAAAACTGGTAAGAAAAGTATCTGGTAGGCAAATCTCATCCACTGAGAAATAGGAATCCATGTTGCAGATATCCATGGCATTTTATTTGGAACTTTTAGACAAGTTCCTGGAAATATCAAATGGACCAGACTCCCGTTAAATGTGGAAGTCTATTTTCTCTCTACCAAAATGCAGGAAACTCATTCCTTTTTGTAAAAAAATCTCTTCTGTTTAGTTTTCTCATCTTCCACATTCTTCCTTATTTGTCCCAATTTCCACAAACAGTTGGAACAGAAGGGCAAAATGGAATAGTATTTATCTTTGTTGACTTGGATGGAATAATGGAAAGACAGGACTGAAAGAGCAATGGAAAACACTGGAAAAGGTAGGGCACAAGAATTAGCTCATATTTTTGATTATCATAAAAGCAGGCCCCAGGACAACTTTTCCTCTGAACCCAATACTGGTGCCAGTAGAACCTCAATACAACCTTTGACAATGGAAGAGCCTGCTATTCTCTGGGCCCTGAAACAATAGAATAGGCTGGTATGACACTGAGAAAGACTGCGATATTCAGTACGATGCACAGACGCATCAAAATATAACAGAGAAGTGCATGCCTATTGTACCAGGCCCTGAAGAGGCAGCAACCCTAACTTTAATAAGGGTTCTTCCCCAAAGGAAGCACAGGTCAAATTAATTGACTTCAGAATGTTTACATCCCAAGATGAATCAAAGTTACAGTGATTTAAGCCCAATTTAATTTAGGCAGGTTTTTTTAAAAAAAAACCACAAGAATAAGGACATTCTTAGTACATATTAATAATTAAACCAACATATACATAAATTAGTAGTATCCTACATAATAATAAATGCATTGACTGTTTTGGATAGCCTGTTATCCTACACCTAGTAACTGATCGAAGAATAAGTCAAGTAGCTTTGTTACATTAAAACATACTTTGTCTTTCTACAATCTGTGCTATTATCAGTCACTGAAAGAGGTTATGGGTTTTTTTAAGAACCAAATTCAACAGTGTCTTCAGTAATCTTCTTGAACTCATAATTTCCTCTTCCATCCATGTGAAGATAAAACTAAGGAGCAGAAAAATACATATTAGTGAACATGGATTATAAAGCTGGAGGAAAACCAGGCCATTTTCTTTGTGTATATACAAACAAAAACATTTCTCATAAAGAATACATTAAAATGTTGTACATGTTACAGCACCATCTAGTGGCACTGGCAGGCTGATAGGCTGTCTATTTTGCAACTACAGTTCAACCATAACAGGCAAAAACTAAAGAAAAATAAAAAATAACATTGTAGCCTGAAAAAGTGGACTTGTGCATGAAAGCTCACATTAAAATATAGCAGTTAATCTTGTAGGTGCCACAATGTTTTCATCTTCTTTATTTTTACACTGTTTTTCCTTGACATGCTAGCACGGACTAACATGGCTACCTCTTCTAAAACTACACTTCAATCAATTTCTTAACTGTGGTCTTCAGAACAACAGCTAGAGTCACCTTTTTAATTGAAACATGTAGAAAATTAGGTAAAATAACACTAAAAGCTAAAACTTTCAAAGGTTTAATGGGACGTTAAAACTATTTACGAAATTCTGGAAGATTCTACATTGAAAGTTATGCTGCAAACAGTGATATTTCTTAGCTTTTAAAACTAAGATCTAATTTGAGTCTTATGCAACCATTAGAAAACCAAATAACTCTTCTTTGAAATGAGCCATTTATCTAGACAGATTCTTTTCGTCAGAATCTTTTCTTCTTTCTCCTTATACTGGAGGACACAGAAGTCAACATTATGAGAGACAAAGAGAGAGATAAAGGGCTGCCATTAAAGGATGCTCAGAAACTTCAGCTGGTCCATAATGTTGCTGTTAACATAGGCCATCTAAAGGAAACATGCGCATCCCTTTAGGAAACACTTTACTAACTTGTTTGTAGGCACAGTTCAAAGTGCCGGTGACAGTTCCTAAAGAGCTTGGAAGTAAGCTTGGTGAAGGTCTACCTCCTCCTATATTTTTTGAATCTATCCATCTATTAAGATGATTGACAGATGCCCTCTCATTGTGCCTTGATGTCCCCAGAAATATGCCTAACTGGGACCAGGGAGTGAGCCTTTGGAACCTGCTCCCAACAGAGAAGTATGACCCAACCTTTTCCGAGGGCCTTCAGACAGGACAGACAAAATCATATTTTTAGGTCATTATTTAGGACATACATGGTTGTTTCCATGTTTCAAGTGCTTTTAATTGCTTTAGTTAAATTATTGTTGATGGCTTTTTGTATTTGGTATCTTTGTTTCCTGTTACTTTAGTCTTTTAAGTAGCCTGTTCTACTACTGTTGTTAAACTAGTTTTAAAACTGGCAATGTATTTATTTTAATGGTTGTTGTGGGTTTTTCTGGCTCTTTGGCCGTGTTTTGAAGATTGTTCTACCTAACGTTTTGCCAGTCTCTGTGGCCAGCATCTTCAGAGGACAGCACTCTGTGCTCTATTTATTTTAACTTTGTCTTTAAGGCAAGTTAAGGATATAAATAGTTTTAATTTCCAAAATACTTTTGTAGATTTTTGCAAAATTTGCTGTGAAGGTATTAATTTATTTTCAAACCTCCTCAAATGCGGGATTAAAGAAAGAGGAATTGCGTGCATATGTGCACAATAAATTTATGTTGCTATAATTGTATTAATATTGTTGGTGAATGGTCAGAGGAAGCTTGGTACTGCCTGGAGCTGCTTTCTGCTTCTGAGTAAGTACATTTACTTTGTTTTGCAGGGTGGGTTTGGGTTTTGTGGGGGATGTTATGTTTCTGTGCTGTAAAGTAAGTAGTCTGTTCTACTACTGTTGTTAAACTACCTTTAAAACTGGCTATGTATTTATTTTAACTTTGTCTTTAAGGCAAGTTAAGGATATAAATAGATTTAATTTCCAAAATACTTTTATAGATTTTGCTGTGATGGTATTAATTTATTTTCAAACCTCCTCAAATGTAGGATTAAAGAAAGAGGAATTGCATGCATATGTGCACAATAGTTAAATAAAACTTACATCGTGGTGCTTCCAAAGTGACTTTCTGTGAGATACAGTGAAGAGAGTGATGCCAACCTAGAAGTGATAAAATATGCACTTGAAGAGAAAATAAGCTTTCCAGTAGTCATTTCCCATCAAGCTTTACTCAAATGAAAGATTCTATTAAGAGGCAAATCTACGTGTGTGAGGGAAGAGCAACGCCTGGGTCTCTCTATGTCTCTCTTTTGGTAAAAGCGGCCATTGGGTAGGAGGCAATTTGCCTTTGTGCTTTTTCTCCAAGTGTAAACAGACTCTCTTCAGCTCATTGTGTCTGTATGATGCCTATATGTTTCCACCTCCACATGTAAAAGAAGCTGGGGGGTGCTTTGTACCAAATTTTAAAAAGCATGCTGCTTATATACTGCCCCATAGCACGTAAAGCACTCTCTGGTGGTTTACAAGTTAATTATGCAGGGTACATATTCCCCCCCACTCCATAAGCTGGGCACTCATTTTACCAACCTTGGAAGGCTAGAACGCTGAATCCACCTTAAGAAAATATAAGAACATAAGAGCCCTGGATCACTCCAAGGGCGCATCTAGTCCATTTTCCTGTAACTCACAGTGGCCCCACCAGATGCCTCTGGAAGCACATGAGACAACTAGATGCCTGTCTCCTGATCCCCTTTCAGGGATCTGGCATTTTGAGGTACCTTCCTTTTAAGCCTGGAGATTATACATCCCCATCATGGCTTGTAACCTGTGATGGACTTTTCATCCCGAAATCTGTCCAACTCCTTTTAAAGGCATCTAGGCCAGATGCCATCACTACATCCTGTGGCAAGGAGTTCCACAGACTAACAACATGCTAGGTAAAGAAATATTTTTCTTTTGTCTGTTCCCACTCTTCCAACACTCAATTTGAGTGGATGTTCCCTTATTCTGGTATTGCATGAGAGGTAAGAGAGTTTCCCTCTATCCACTTTATCCATCCCCTGCATAATTTTATACGTCTCAATCATGTCCCCCCTCAGGTGCCTTTTCTCTAGACTAAAGAGCCCCAAACATTGTAGCCTTTCCTCATAAGGGAGGTGCCACAGCCCAGTCATCATTTTAGTTGCTCTATTCTGCACCTTTTCCAGTTCCACTATGTCTTTTTCGAGGAGCAGCAACCAAAACTCTACACAATACTCCAGGTGCGGCCTTACTAGCGTTTTGTTCAATAGCATTATAATAACCTTGAGCCAGCTACCTGGGATTGAACCCCAGGTTGTGAGCACAGTTTTGGCTGCAGAACAGCAGTTTGACCATTGTGCCATGGGGCTCCTATAATAATCTGTATGGGAGCACAAGGTTAACCCCCTTTTTTCTTCTCCTGGCCATGATCCAACATTTCTGCCCTAAACTCACAATCATATTATTGGAAAAAAAACTTCAGAAGATCTGCAGAACATGGAGGTTGGTCTGGCTATTTCTAATACTGCTTCTCACATACAGACTCAATCTTGAGTTCCCTTACATACCACAAGAGAAATTTAAAGACATATTTTCTTTTTAAGATCATCAGATACGAAGGCAATTGAGCTTCAAGAATACGTTTTTCAAATTTACACATTTTCTTAAATTTACATTTTTAATTTTCATTTTAATATGATTTTTAATTAATATTGCATTATAATATGATAGCAGGCTATTATAATAATTTTTTTCTCAATACTTGCTGATACTCCTTTCAAGGTTAGTACAAAAACTGACAGTTCTGAGAGGCACACATACTTTCCGACAATGACTGTAGATGTAGCCTTCTACGTCAACACTAACTGCACTTGTACACTCGTCCAAAATTGCAAACTGGGGTTTATGGTAGAACAATCTGGCCATCTGCAATACAAAAACCAATGCTGATGCATGACATTCTGTTTGTAGAAAATCTAATACTAACACAGTACTAATACTTGTTAAATTTTTTAACTTCCTAAATATTTCACATTACTGTATACAGATTATAGTCAAATGACAGAACTCATCTGGAATAAGAAAACTTTTATTGTCTACTAGGTTACTACAATGTCAAAATATTATAGTCAGCCAGATGACGTCTTTAACTGCTCTCAGTAGCAGGTGCAGCAAAACCTTTTGCTGATTTTTACTGTGGGAGAGTACCTTTACGTCTGGCTCTTAGTTAAAAAATAATGCTCAAAAATATAAACACTGATTGCAAAGGCAACATACAGCCATCCTCTGTTTTTCTCCTCCACTGAGAACATCCATCCAGTCCTGAATGCTATCCCAGCCTCCTTCACGTTCCAGGATGTGACCCAACTGGACGTTATCTAAATATTCCTTTAAAACCTGCAAATAAAAGAGTAGATAAAAGCAGCTCAATCTTTTTTGCAAATATACTTGCCCGTCTAAGTTTGTCTAATATCCTCACTTCCAAAAAGTGGGTAGAATGGTTCGATTTAAAATATTTTATGCACAACTGCAGTAACAAACAGGGCAGGAGTGTTCAACATCTTTCCACTATTGGTACATAAGATTTAATGTAAAGTATGCCATTAATCATGCAAAATATCCTGTTTCCCCTAAAATAAGACCTAACCTGAAAATAACCCCTAGAATGATTTTTCAGGATGCTCATAATATAAGCCCTACCCCCCAAAATAAGCCCCATTTAAATGAAACCCTGCCCTCCACCATTGCGCAGCAACCAGAAGATGACATGACTGTATTTGGATAAATGTAGATTGTTGTACATGAAAAAATAAAACATCCCCTGAAAATAAGCCCTAATGTGTTTTTTGGAGCAAAAATTAATATAAGACTCAGTCTTATTTTCAGCCAAACAGGGTAGCAATTCCCTAAACGAGTGCAGAGTTCTAACTAGACAAATTGGCACTTGTACCAGCTCAAAGGATTAAGGCAAAACATAATCAAACGACTGGCTACAAAACATGACCAAGATCAACCTAAAAAAGTATAAAGCACGTAATAACCAAATCTGAGAAGCAACCAACCAATACCACTCTGTGGCATTATATTTTGGCATAGTAGTCTATCTTGAAAACATTTAGGGGATGCACATCTATCAACTGGATTTTTGTTGGACAATGCTTATGCTAACTGAATGTGTAGGATCATTCCTTTCCCTTCCACAAATCATTAATTGGGAAAACAGTTACTGGCCATAATGCTGTTGCATAGTTCTGCCTGTGCAATGGGAATTATATCAGTGGTAGCTGTAACATGTCACTGACTAAGGCTTCCTTTTGAGATTTTAGGGTGTGCACAACTTTGTTGCATTGTATGTTTCTTTGTTCGTTTAATAAACACACATTGCTTTTCTCCTTAAGAAAAACCCAAAGCAGCTTACAGCATTAAAAGATAATATTTAAAGCTAAAAATACTAAGTATACAAGTACTAAAAAGGATGTTAAAAATACCAGTCTAAAAGACAGTAAAACAAAAGCAACACTCAAAATACATTCAAAGCAGTAAGGCACAACTATCCATTAAAAAATCCCACTCAGGAAGCCAATCACTGAGGGAAAGATTGCCTACAAAGAAAGGTCTTTGCCTGCTTGCAGAAGCCCCAAAATACATTCAAAGCAGTGAGGCACAACTATCCATTAAAAAACCCCACTCAGATGGGAACAGCCTAGCCTCCTGTGGGAGGGAGTTCCAAAGTCTGGGAACAGCAACTGAAAAGGCCCTCTCCTGTGTCTCCACGAAATGCACCTGTGAAGGTGGTAGGACCAAGAGAAAGGTCTCTCCTGATGATCATCAGCTCATAAAGGGAGATGCAGTCTATTATATAGCTTGAACCCAAACCATCTGGGGTTTTATAGGTTAGAACAAGCACTTTGAATTGCCTGGAAATGAATCAGCAGCCAGGGGTTTATGTGATCTCTACAAACAGTCCAGGTTAGCAACAGCTCATAAAGGGAGATGCAGTCTTTTATATAGCTTGAACCCAAACCGTCTTGGGTTTTATAGGTTAGAACCAGCACTTCGAATTGCATGGAAATGAATTGGCAGCCAGTAGAACTGCTGTAACAGGGTGATCTCTACAAACAGTCCAGGTTAGCAATCCAGCAGCCATGTGTTGGACCCACTGAAGCTTCTGAACACTTTCCAGCAGGTCACAGTAATCCAGCCATTCATGATTCACATAAAGCAGGTCACAGTAATCCAGCCATTCATGAGCTACAAGCACAATGAAATCACAAAATGAAGCCTTTAATCAGCAGCAATTTACTGTTGCCAATGACATCATCCCCACTGCACAGGTGAAGCTGTGCAACAAGATTTTATCCATTATTTGTATTTACAGTACAGAATTTGATTCTCGTCTGCAGACAGAACTGATCAGAATTCTAAGAGTGTCACACTGAGTTTTTTTAAACATACTGTTAATACATCAAAATTGGTTTAACTGGCCCTAGATTTAGCCAATTAAGAATCACTTGAAAGCGAGAGACAAAAATCTACCTATACAGAGTCAACAGATTATATAAAAAATATGAATTTACTCTCACTTATGCTAACCCACTTTCTGTTGACAAAAGGTTAAGCTGACAAAGGATTTCTAACTTTGCTTTTACTGCAAAAGGTTACCTATGAGAAGTATGGAAAGCCTTCAAAAAGGTATTTCACCTGGTCAGAGATGCCTTTCCTCTTCTGATCTTCTACAGTATCTGGATAGATTACTTGGTCTCTGAGAGTTCCAAGAGTCATGTATGGTCTCTGAAATTAAATAATGAGGAGTCAGGAAATACTGGAACCACTTTTAAAATTTAGAAATGCTCATTATTATGTTAAGTTGCTTTACCTGGGGAACATAAAACAGCTTTCCTCTCTCAGGCTTAGTCAGACAGCCACCGAACAAAGGCCACAACTACAATGGGAAAAGAAGAATCATACAACAAAGGATGCAGTAATTTCTTGTGGATGCTATTAAGACTATCTTTACCACCATGTTTACTTACCTCTCCAAGGACACGGAAAAGTGAACTCTTTCCACACCCATTAGGCCCACAAATCAGAACATTTGCACCAGACCGTACCTAGAATATGAATCATGGCAATATATAAGACCATTAAGGAGTGGCTGCTCAGTTTGCATGGGGACAACTACACTTAAAATAGAAACATTCAAAAGAGAAATATTGATACCAAATAATGTGCCAATCCCCTTCCATAAAACCAATCAATTGTCTAACCAACAAGAATCCTTTGAGGCACTACTTTAAATTCCTACATGGATATTTTGTTCAAATTTAAGAATCATCATATTTCAGCTTTTTTTTTTTCTGGTGAGCTGTTCTGTCAAAGCTAAAAGCTGGAAATTTCTGGAGCAGAAACCTGGAAGTTACAACATTATAGAAACTGACTGCGTACCTAGGTATATTTAAATAGAAAATTAATACCACTAACCTAGGTGAAGCTGACTCTTGAGTAAAATGCTTAAAATTGAGTTATAGCATGCAGAGGCCTTGTGATATAGTAAATATGTTTTACTTTTCTATCTTATAATTAGCATATTGATTTATGTTGTTCAAGACTATTCTACATTAAGGGAATGTATGGATTCCCATTGGATAATAGAATTTCCCTGTGAAGAAACCATTATTACCAAAGGTAAAAATTAAATCCACTTATACAAGACACTTCTGCTCAATTTTAGGTGATAGCCTCCTTCCCAAGGCAGCCCATATTGCTCAAGATATTCCAGGGGAGGGGTGTGAAAGATAATTTCTTTTTCAAAAATGTTGGCTCACACCAATTATCCCAATATGAAATTGTGAATGTCCCAACGTACCTCAAAGTCAAGATCTCTAATCAATATATCACCATTTGGTGTTGCCAGAGGAACATGATCAAACCTTCAAGGAAAATAAAGATGAACACAGTCACGCTCATTGAAATCCTATTTATAAATGTTCTAGGTGTAGGCGATATAGCTGCATCACAAAACAATGTGTAATTAGCAGTTGCTAGAAGGCTACATAAAAAAAATCTCCAGTACAAATACAGTGGTGCCCCGCATAGCGAGCGCACCGTTTAACGACAAATCCGCATAGCGACACGTTAACATGATCAAACCTTAAAGGAAAATAAAGATGAACACAGTCACGCTTATTGAAATCCTATTTATAAATGTTCTAGATGTAGGTGATATAGCTGCATCACAAAACAATGTGTAATTAGCAGTTGCTAGAAGGCTACATAAAAAAATCTCCAGTACAAATACATTGAAGTCTTGGGCTCAGATAATGTAGATATTGCTTTGTTCCGGAACTAGCCTTTCTGCAGATATGATTCCCAATTGTTAGTCTTTGCTCTTTTTTCTTATACTTCCAGGTGATCTTTGCTCCCACGAGTAACACACATAACAGAATTGGAAAGGAAATTAGCTTAACCAAAATGCCATAATTCCCTTTGCCAGTTCAGACTAAGATCCATGTAGTCTGAAAATACTGAGACAACATGACAACTGAAGATCAACAATTCAACCACTCCTGATCAGTAAGGCTATAATTTATAATTGTAATTTAGACACATCTGGATTGCTGCCACCCTTTTTTCTATTTTCACTGTTAATCTCCATCACTAAAGAAAAAAGTTCTAAAAATGGCAACATCTATGAACAACTAAATAAAGTGATGATAAGTTGGTCCATTGGTGAAATGGTACTGCTAACTTCAGCTGCCAAGTGCTTCCGAAGAGATCTCATTTAATAATAATAATAAGACAAGCATCTGTAAACCTACGTTAATTTATATTTTTAAAAGAATTGCCATAATGGAAATCTGATAATGAGGAAATTGTCCTTTACCCAAGCTCCCTAATCAGTTAGTTTCTCATGTGAAAATCTAAAGTGTGTAGAAAGGGTCTGTGGGACCAAAACTACAAGAGATGGGGGCATCTATTTACACTACCTTTCCTACAGCTAGACTTTCTTTGGTCCTGGAACCTTCATGATCCAAAATCTGGGCAAACCTGCCTCCAAAGCAGTATGCACAGCAGACTTCCTCGTCTCCAGAGTTCACACGGACATACGGGTGGCAAGGCTAGGGCTGGGAGGAGCCAGGTGATGTCAAAAGCAAGATTATGGGATGGGATCTACAGTGCTTTCTAACGACTTTACTCATAAGTAAAACACAAAAAGGGCTGAAGATCATTTAATAGGTGTGTTGCATAGAATTGAAGACTAATTAGAAAAGTCTACTAAGAAACAACATCCTTTACTTACTTGATAATGTTATCTGCTATGACAATTCTTCCAGAACCAGGAATCAGCGGGGTGAATTGCTCCAAATCTGAATCTTACATTAAAAACAATCACACACTGGTATTAGGAAGGGGACATATGCTGCCACAGGTTAAGCATTTGCATTAAGTTAGATTTTTCAGTTACCTTTTTCTTGTGATAACATGGTTCGCTGGTATTTGCCACTGTTTAACTCCTTTAGCACTTGGATTAATTCTGTAATTCGAGCTGTGAAGCTAAAAGGTTACAGACATTATGACAGTTTCTTCAAATTCCGAATTATCTGATACTGCTAGAACTGAAGGCACAAAGATACAAATACTTCACACTAACATAACAGCAGTTTAAAAAAATGTTTTGTCTGTATACTTAAGGTTCATCCAGCTATCCAATGGCGTTGGGTCAGTGATCATGATAATGAAAACTGAGATCAAATAAAACGAGGGCGGGAACCCCGGTTATTCCCTCCCCACACATAAACCAGACACTATGTAAAGACCATCAGGGGTCATACAGTTCCTCTACTGAATTTGTCACAATACTGATGAGAGCAGGAAATCCTCTCTTCCTCCCACCAGACAAACATATGCTTGATTACAGGGACAGACAGTGGTGGGGAATAAGACAGGATATTAACTCTGTATCAGCCATTGTGTAAAGATTATTGGCTTCAACCAGAAAATGTACAGATGTCATTTCACTGATATAAATGTGGCTCCAAACCTTGCTAAATCATTACAGGGGATATATATTTCAGCGTTGTAAGACGAACAGAAAATGTCATTGAATTAAAGAAAGAAAGGAGTGAAGGCTAGAAGAGCAGTATGAAAGTCAGTTAGAGAAAATTAGGATTTATCTTATTAAGACAGGTGGGTTATACATATTACTGATCAACCTTACCCAGCCAATCGTGTCATTTCACGACCTGCCAGAACTATCCTTCCAAGAGCTTGAGACATTCTCAGCAACATTCTTCCACTTTGGTAGTAATCCTTTAAATAATACAGCAAAGGGTTGCTCGTGAGTGAACTCAGAAAATAACTGTTACCTGACACACCTACTCTTAGTAGCACATTACTCACCTCTAGAAGTTCTGCATGGGTACTATTCTGATGACGTGGGTGAGATAAGTTCAAGAACGGGCGGCTAACAACCAGATAGCCAACTACGGTAGCAAGATCTACAAGGTTTGAAGAAAATGTCTGCTTCAAAATCGGTTTGAATGCGAAGTGTAAAGTTTAGAAAAGTTTGGATTTTTTAAACTACTACTTCAGTAGTTTCAACTACAATGGACAGCAGCCATACCAACAAGGGAATTCTAAAAGTAGCTGCCCCCAAGTGTAAAACCTGCTAAACTTGATAAAAGTTACATGATTTTTTAAAGATGCATTGAGCCAACTGTCCATTAGAAACATCATACAGCCTTACTCTCTTCCCTATCAGCCCCAGCTTCTAATCTTACTCCAGTTGAGTTCAAAGGTTAAAGTGTGCCTTAGATCCAAGGACATGTAGACAGAATTCTTCTTGTGTAAAATGGCTTATCCTTTCCCTCCTCCTGACAAGCCATTTTATAGTACGTAATGGGGGCAGGCTCTTTGGAAGGGTGTTGGGTGTGACATGAGGAGAGAACTGCAGAGAACAAGGGACTGAGATGGGGAACGTGGGGCTATACTGACTGTGGTATTTCAAAAGACAAGTATTTCCCATCTCTCAGAGAAGTGAACAATCTATGGAAATCACAGGGCCAGCTTACTCAAACTTTTCTGCTTTGTTAAGTCAGAACTGACTTGACAGCACACAATTATTATTACATAAGATACTTCTGGATCAAAGCAAGAGAGTGGGCAATTAGGTTATTCAGTCGTCACAGGGGCCCCTTCTTTCTCTGGGTATTATCACAGAATTCTGCTATAGAAGGAAAATGTGCATACTTACATTTGGCAACGATGGTATCTATAAAGCCCATAGTAAACCGGAACAAAATGAAATTGTGTAAGTGCTCTACCTAGTGAAATGAAAGAGTTGGAAATAATGTCAGTATATTCTGTTTATGTATATAAATGAACTAGTAGTTCTGAAAAGCACGTTGGTCCCTCCAGATACAAACATTTATACAACAAGAAGCAAATTAAGACAAACTATGGCACACAAGAAATAAGAGCCTAAAGAAGGATAGGAAATGCATACCCAAAGCCCAATTTAACCTTGTAGCTTCAATTAGCATTTTAAAAAGGAAGAAATTTTTATGGTTCATTAACAGGCTAATTTTTGACTCTTAAGAGCCCAGCTGAGAAGGGGGGGGAAACAGAGGAGGCAGGGAGTAGCAAACAAAAAGAAGCATCCAGTGTCTCCTGTTAATGCCTTCACTAGAAATCCCTCAGGATATTACAACACTATTTTATTGCTGCAGAACAGCAAATACAAAAGACATCAGATGACCTTACCTAAGTAATATAAACCCATTGCAATTCTGGTTACTCTTCTCTGGAAAACTTTATTCTCCTTTCAACTTTGTTAACTACTTTGGATGCAAAGTTAGTAAACAATTCATTTCAGCAGCCTTGAATGGGTCACTACATTGAACACAGGCCATGAAAATGAATGTTTGAAAGACCACACTCTTCCTTTGTTTTTAAAATTACAACCCATGGTGAAACATTCCAAAAAGTAGCACTGCAATGTGTGCATGAAAATACATATCATTTATTTTTATTTTTTAATATGGCATAACTTTATTTTACTGCCATGGCATTAAGACAACCCTGCAAAGCGTGAGAAAAAAACAGACCTAAACCACTAGGGTCAAAGCCTCCCACTATGTGGAAAGTGACTTACCAATTTGCGGAAGGCTTTGTGAATGGTCTGTTTTTCCCTTTGATTCCCATTATAAAAAGCAATTTCTTCACTGCAAAAAAATTAAATGTTTAATGCATATAAGTGATCAGAAATCAGGCTTACCATACACAATCTATACGAAGCAGAAGCATCTACAGATTATAGAACAGACTGTACTTATCACTTGAGATGAATACCAAAAACCCTTTGTTAAGCAGCAAATCAGACTAGAAAAGTGTAGGAAGAAATCAAATCTTTCCTCCTGCTATGTTGGTTTCCTATTTAGTGTGATTTTTTTTTAAAAGTGAGAATATTTAAAAAAGATTTCCTCCTCTCTGCAGCATGAAATTGGTAGATTCTATTCTATCAGTTCATGATACTATCTCTCGCTGCCAAACACATGCAGCATAGGAAAGAGGAGCAAAAAAGGAATGTGTACATTTCTTTCCTTTGAAATGGCCAAAATATAGAATTATATAGTCCTATTCTGTGTATTCTATTTTAGCTTATGTATTTTAAGCCAAGATGCCAATATCATAGATCTATGTACATGCAACTAGCTTTTAGTTTTAACATTTCATTGTGCCAGCTCTCACAATTTGTTAACAAACAAGTTTTTACAGCATCAAAAAGGTTTTTCAGTTTGTGAGGGCAAATCATCTTGAGGGCTACTTCTTAAGAACAGTTAGGGAGAAAATACAGGTACAAAAGGTAGAAATGCAGACTAAAGAGTATGACATTACACTTTTTCAGCTCTTCTGCCAAAATTGATTAGGTGTAACAAATTTTACCAATATTGTAAAACACAGAAAAGAGTTTATTCTGTTCTGTAGTATTTGGCTTTTCTGAGCAACTGTTTCCCTTCATCCCTTTCAATTCTTACCTGTTTGTAATGAGCCGAGAATTGACGAATCTGTATTCTCCTTCATACTTTTGTTCTGTGATAGTCATTTTTCCAATGGGTCTTCTTAAACGTGTAAGGAAAAACCCTGAAATAATCAGGTAAGCCATCATGGAAGCAGGACCCTGAAAATATTTGGAAATGTTCATACAGACAACTATTAGCAATTAGCAATATTTTTTTTTAAAAAAATACACACATATGGTAAACTGATGAGGTATCTATATTTTAAAGAAAGTTTGAAGTCTTATTTTTTTAACACGGTCAACTACCCTATGGATATAAAATTATGAAATTATTTTCACAATTATTATTTCAGTATACTGGTTGCAAATGAAATCTCTGATGGACACAATGTCCACACAAACAGATCTGCCCATTTCACTTAGTAAAGGAGCCACTGCATACAATACAGAGTAGTCCCCAACCTTGCACTAAAATACAGAGCACTCATCACCCTTTCAAATTTTGATTACATCTGTTCAGATAAACCTCCTTGGGCATTCCAGAGCTGCTGGATGCCATCAAGAAAAAAAGTGCTAAAGCTGAAAATGGCAATAAAACATGTTTTAGTGTGACATTCTCATTTGGTTTCCTAAGTAAAATAATAAAAGTCCACTTTGTGTTAATTAGCTATTTTATAACATCACCTGATTGTAGTCCAATAGACTATGATCAGGCAATGTTAATAGACCGTTTATTTATTGTTTATTTAAAATGTATATATGCTGCCTTTCTCCTAAAAAGAACCCAAGGCAATTTACGATATTAAAAAAGAAACAATACTAAAACGTGAAAACAATAAATAATTACAATAATAGAAAATAATTAAACAAATATCAAAACTAGTAGAGAAAAAAAATACTAAGGCCACATTAAAAACAACAAAAACACAACAGTCCCATTTTTTAATAAAACCAATCACTAAGAGAAAGTCTGCTTGAAGAGAAAGATAATTAAACAAATATCAAAACTACTAGAGAAAAAAATACTAAGGCCACATTAAAAACAACAAAAACACAACAGTCTCATTTTTTAAAAAAACCAATCACTAAGAGAAAGTCTGCTTGAAGAGAAAGATCCTTGACCTGGTAATGGTAGGATAGCTTGCTAATAAATGTGCGTGCTTACAATTTGGGGGATCAGAAGCATATGGCATGCTAATTACAGATGCCAGCAAAAGCTTTACTGTATTTACCTTTTAGCTGTTTTTCAAAGTTTTCAATACATTGCTAATTGCCAAAATTAATAAAAACACACTTGTGTGGCTATGCACAATTCCTCCTTTTTAAGTGAGTAAGTAGGCATAATTGTTTATAGGATTAGAGCTAAGGTTTTTAAATCCTTATCCAAAGCTTAGTCAAATGTTCCCATTGTATGTTCTTGATTTCTCCTCTACTTTAAAGAGTTGAGAAAAAGTGCTTGCAAATTTTAAAAAAGATCTGAGTATTCTGTTTTCTTTAATACAGAAGGGCTTGCAAAGAACTGTTACTTAAATGTCTTCACAAAAAATAGCAATATATGGCAGCAGAAGACAGGCTGAAATGTGGGGGCTTGGAAATTTAAAACCCATTAGAAGTCACCCAAAATAAATATGCTTGGCTACTGCTGGCAGTCCTCCCCGCTGCCAATTCCTACAGCTCCAGTTAGACTGGAACTGGCATTAATATCAGTAACGATCTTGGCTTATAAAGCAGTGATTAACTATTGGCTGAAAATTCAATTTTGCGCGCCTTCGGAATTTTTGACATTAACATACAGGGAGATTAAATTTGGCTCATGGAAAACCTTCATACTGAATCTTGTTGCTATACTTGGTTTTTCACAAAACTATATGAGGCACCTTAGCTTCTCTGCAGCAAAACTTGCATTAAAACGAAGATCTCTGTGTTCAAATAGATGCGGGTTTATTAAGTACATCAAGAACTGCACCATGTAGTGTAGTTTATATAAACCAAACATCAGTAGGATGAGACTCGGCCCCTTTGTATTGTCAGAGTTCATTCAGACAAAATAAGCTTCTATCAGAAAATTCCTCAATAATACATTCCTCATATTGTGTGTTGTAAAAGTCAAACTCAAACCATTCCATGGCATATGTTTTAGGAAGTGATTTTACCTGAGCTCCTATTGCACTTGTCAACTTGAAGATATACAGAACAATATCCAAAAATGGCTGCAAAAAAAGATTCAAAATTAAAAATGATAGGAGAGAAAGAGAAATCCCACAAGGGCCCTTTTTAGAAAACAAACTAATTGCCAAGTGAAAAGGTGCAATACACAGTATTTCAGTACAGTGGTGCCTCGCTTGACGATAATACGTTCCAGCAAAATCGCTGTAGAACGAAATTGTCGTCAAGCGAAAGTAAAAAGCCCATTGAAATGCACTGAAAACCGTTCAATGCGTTCCAACGGGCGAAATACCTCACCGTCCAGCGAAGATCCTCCATGGGGCAGCCATTTTCTGGTGGCTGTATAGCGAGGAATCCGTCCTTAACACAGTGGGAAGCCATTTTGCACAGCAGGGAGCCATTTTGTGAGTCACCGATCAGGTGTTTTTAGATAATCATTTAGTGAAAAATCGGTTCCCGAAGCAGGAAACCGATCGTCATCAAGTGGATTTTCCCCATTAAAACATTGTTTTGCGATCGCAAAAGCGATCGCAAAAACCTCATCGTTAAGCAGATTCGTCGTGGAGCGGCGTAATCGTTAAGCGGGGCACCACTGTACTAGAATTACCTTAATTCCCCCTGAGATTACAGAATACAAACATTCCCATTTTATTTAGAAAACAAATCTAGATTTTAAGTGAACAAAATTAAAGCAGTAGGCCAGGAGTAGAAAATCTCTGGCACTCCAGATATTTTGGACTATAACTCCTACAGTCCTTTATCGATGGCAATACAGGTTGGGGATTCTGGGAGTTGCAGTCCAAAACATCTGAAGAACCAAAGGTTCACCACCTCTGCAGACTAGGCAATAACATTTATCTATCTACAGTAGTGACTGTTCCTTTATTATGTTTACTGTTTGTTGGGGTGGGGCTGCGGGGAGACAAAATCCTGTCTTCAACCAAATAAATCCAGCTTTATAACAAGCTGAAATGAAAGAGATAGCAAATTCTGGCTATGAATGTGCCTTGGCAGATAAGAAGCTACAGAGTAGAAACGTAATGTTGCAAGCTGCTTACTATGCATGTCAAATAAAGCAGCAGTTCAACTGAAATTATTTAAAATGCATACATTACATGCCTCAGATGGAAGACAGGAAAGGCCAGTTAAGTGACAATGAGGTGGGCAACTTCCTGGGGCCAGGAGGCCACAGTGGATTCCCTGTAACTGATCAGAAGCTACGCCGCTGCTGCATGCATTGATGCCACAGTTATGCTGACAGATGGAGGTCACTATGGTGATCTTTTGGGGCAGAGCACAGTGTTAGAACACAAAACCACATTTATTTCCCAGAAACAATGGGAATGGAGGAAACCACTGCATGTTGACAGTAGGGATGATTATGTGAAGTTGCAGATGTCACAATACAAGTGTGCAAGGACCACAGATTGTGCCCTTGATTCACAATGAGATACTTATTAATATGTATCTAAGATAATCTTTGATGCTATTAACTCAGCTCATTAAAGTCTATCTGGTAACCAGCAAATTCTTATGTTAAATATTTATTTCATATTAATAGATATATTCCACAAAATATGTTTATTTACTCAGACTATAACATTACTGAAGATGCATTTTCTTTACACTTACCTTGCTAAGGTTTGAATATAGGTCTACCACACTGTTACAGAATTTTTCAACATCTTGTGTAAGCAGCTGATCAGGATTGCCTATTCTGTTGTCGAGATTCCCCATTTTGTAGTAAGTAAAGGTCCTAAAATGTCAAGAAACAGGCAATTTAAAGTGGCTTTTTCTAAATCATAGAATTCTAATAACAACAATAATAGTAACAATGAAATAACAATAACAATAGAAATCCTAAGAACAAGTTTGATTTATATCCCCCTTTCTTTTAAGTGCTTTGAGTGGCTAATAAAAACAGTATCTGAAGTCTTACACAGTGGTACCTCGCTTAGCGATGTTAATCGGTGCAGCAAAAATTGCTGCTAAGCGATTTCATCACTAAGCGATTTTAAAAAGCCCATATAAACTCATTAAAACGCATTTAATGTGTTCCTATGGACTTACAAACTAACCTTAAGCAAAAATCCTCCATTGCGGCAGCCATTTTAGGTGCCTCTAAAGCGAGGCAAAACAGTGGGTGGCCATTTTGTTTACCTGGTGGCCATTTTGGAACCGCCGATCAGCTGGCCGAAAATGGGGGCTTTGTGATGATCGCTCCCCCACGATCATCGCAAAGCGAATTTTCCCCATAGGGGCCATCGCAAAGCGATCGCTCTTGCGATGGCAAAAAGTCCATCGCAAAGCGATTTCATTGCTATACGGAGCAATCGCTATGCGAGGCACCATTGTATTAGTGTTCTCACCAAGTTGAGTGGTCTACAACAGAGCTCCCCAAACCACGGTCCGCGACCCAGCAGCAGTCCACGGCCTAAGCAGGACCGGGCCGCGGACACAGATCTCCTGCCCCCCCCCTGCAAGCACCCCCTGCGAGCATGCTACTCACACCCTAACCGGTCCACAGTTCGGGACCACTGGTCTATAAGCTTTATAAATATATTTACTAGCAATATTAGATGTATTCATATGTCTAAAACTGCTAGTGTAACTGCTCAAATTAAAATATAATAAAATAATAAAAACAAGCAGCAGAGACAAATTAAATATTTGCTTAGGGTGCAAAGAGATATACCTGAACATCATATATGTGGGACAACCTCCTCTTTGATTAAGGAAAGCTGAAAACTGGGGTGCCACCACTGAGAATGCTCTGCCATGTGTGGTAGTTATATGGTCACATTACTCTAGAGCAGTAGTTCTCAAACTAGGGTCCCCAGATGTTCTTGGACTGCAATTCCCAGAAGCCTTCACTACTTGCTTTGCTGGCCAGGATTCCTGGAAGTTGCAGTCCAAAAACATCTGGGTGTCTAAGTCTGAAAACTAATGCTCTAGAGCAGCCATTTTCAATGAAGGCCATCTGGCCCCCTGGGGGGGGGCTTTGGCAAATTTGAAGGGGAACACAGACTGAAAAACTTCTATTCTATATTTCTATTCATCTGTTTGTGTTGCATTCTTGTTTGACATGGGGCCTTGGAACTTGAGAAGAGCTCCTAAAAGGGCTGCGGCCAAAAAAAGATTGAGAACGGCTGCTCTAGAGCATCACAAGTGACACTTCCCTAGTAGTCTTAAATCCTACAGAAGTTGTTTGACTAAGCAACCCATTAAATTATTAAGTGCATTTAAAAAACCAGGAACGTGGTCTATGGCTGCTTGCAATCATTTTCATATTATTTTAATTCAATACTAAAGCACTTAACACTGTAAAAACATCTGTCACTTACTGTAGATATTGCTCATAAAGATACTTGGTCAGTCGCACACGGAAACACAACTTAAGTTCATTTAGACCATACTTCAAAAAGTTGTTCACCAGGGAAATCTATAAATAACAACACAGTGATATGATACAAACGCCAAACAGTTATGTGAAGCATATAAAGTAACTTGCTTATTGGTATTGCTAAAATTGCCAAAGGTACAGAAACCCCACCACCTTAGGTTAGATGGAACATGAACATCCAAAGCTAGCTATCATCCAATCATAGGCTATAATCCCATATTGGAGCAAGTTCTAAAAGTCCTAATACAGTCAGAGGGACTTACTTCTAAGTAAAATGCACAGGACTGTTTAATCAACTATGTAGTAGATTTAATCTGCATATATTAAATGAAAAAATTATTCTGAACTCTGGAATTATTATTTTTCATTCAGATTTAAAGTGACAACACCCCTGCATGATGACCTTTGCCGGGAGAGAGACGGGGAGTGTGACCCTGTTGGTACTCCTGGACCTCTCAGCGGCTTTCGACACCATCGACCATGGTGTCCTTCTGGATAGGCTGGCTGGGTTAGGAGTTGGGGGCACTGTTTTACGGTGGTTCCGCTCCTTCCTAGCTGACCGTGTCCAGAGGGTGGTGCTGAGGGATATTTATTTATTTATTTATTTATTTAATTTATCCCCCTCCTATCTGGCCCACCGGACCACTCTAGGCGGATAGTTGCCTTGCCCCATGGCATTTATGTCATGGGGTTCCTCAGGGCTCGATAGTGTCCCCCATGCTGTTTAACATCTACATGAAGCCGTTGGGAGAGGTCATCAGGAGGTTTGGGCTGAGGAGTCAGCAATATGCTGACGACACTCAGCTCTACCTCTCGTTTTCCACCAATCCAGGTGAGGCGGTTTCTGTGCTGAACTCGTGTCTGGACCTGATAATGGACTGGATGAGGGTTAATAAATTGAAACTCAATCCAGACAAGACGGAAGTGCTGTTAGTGGGTGCTTCGCCAGACAGGCTGGAGGGCCATCTCCCTGCCCTGAATGGGGTTACACTCCCCCTAAGGGACAGGGTCCGCAGCCTGGGGGTGCTCCTGGACCCCAGTCTAACACTGGAAGCCCAGGTGGACTCGGTGGCCAGAGGCGCCTTCCTTCAGCTGCGGAAATTATACCAGCTACAGCCCTACCTGCACAAGCGGAGTCTCATGACAGTTACACACACACTGGTAACATCTTATTTACAATGGTTAGCAATAAAGTGTGGCCCATAGTTTACCCACAACACTTTTCTCGCCTCATTATTCTTGGATGGGGGGCAATGAACACAGGTTTTTGAATTCAGTTATCTTCATACCCATTAGTACCTTAGAACCTTAATCTCTTTCATTTATCCACACTAACAGAGGGATGGCTTGTAGACAAAGGGCCTTCTCGGCAGCTGCCCCCAAACTATGGAACGCCCTCCCAACTGAAATTCGTCTGGCACCGACGTTGATGACATTTCGGCGCCAGGTCAAAACCTTCCTGTTCCAGAAGGCTTTTAATTGAAATAACAACGGTGGGTCCTGATGATGGCAATTTTAATTGTATTTTAATTGTATTTTAATTGTATTTTAGTCATTTTATTGTATTGAATTTTAATTATTGTAAGCCGCCCAGAGACCTCTGGGTAGAGTGGGCGGCATATAAATTAAATAAATAAATAAATAAACACAAACATTGATCCAAAGAAGCATGGGCAGAAGGGGAAAATGTAAGAGTGCTAGCCCATGAACCCTGGCACAGGATAGCTGAAGACTTCCCATGCTGCAGTACTACAATCTACAGTACAAGAAACAATAAAAAGATATAGGCAACAAAATACAACTACAAAGGGCTGTTAAAGTTCCTTGAAAAGGAAAATGTACATACTTGGACCTCAAATTGCACAAATGTAAAAACTTCTCTGGATTTGTGGATCTCTTGTTTTCCCACACTTGGTTAGAAAGATAAATGCACTCAAAAAAAGCTTTTCTTTAGTGTACAGGTTCCCAAAATAGGGGCCACAAATATTATTCAACTATGAGGGGATGCTGATAAGTATTGAGCCTTTCCCAGAAAACACTGAGCTAGGAAGCTGTAACTGCCACACTATTCTACATATTCCCCCAGGAAGTCAATGCACTTGCAACATTTGTCCTGCAGCTTCTTACAGGTAAAAGTTCGCAGTCACTTCTGTTCTGTATGTGTGATAATGTCCAGCACTCTCCACCTTCTTCTTCCCAATATTGGTCACGGAAAAATCAGGCAAACCAAATTCTTCCAAATAAACAGGTTTATGAGGGGGTGCTGAAAAGTATTGAGCCTTTCCCAGAAAAAAAATGAGCTTGGAAGCTGTAACTGCCACACTATTCTACATATTCCCTCAGGAAGTCAATGCATTTGCGACATCTGTCCTGCAGCTTCTTAAGTCCCTGCAAACAAAATTATTTCGACTGTTGGTGTAACCACTCATTTGCAGCATTCGTTGCCTTAAGAACACTCCCAAATTGTTGTCCCTTTAGGTGTTTTTTGAGTTTGGGGAATGGATAATAGTCAGAAGGAGCCAGGTCAGGAGAATAGAGTGGATGGGGCATCACTTGAATGCCTAAGGATGTCAGTTTTGCCATCGTTTCACCTGCAGTGTGTGACAAGCCATTGTCATGCAACAGGATGACACCTTTGGAGAGCTTTCCTCAATGTTTTTCCTTGATGTTTTGCCTCAACTTCGTCAATAAAGCACAGCAATATTTTGCATTGATGGTTGAACCCTGTTGGAGGTAGTCCAGCAGCAGAACTCCCTTCTCATCCCAAAAAACTCTTGCCATTTGCTTCTTCACCGACCTTTGAATTCGGAACTTCTTTGGCCTGGGGGAACCACTGTGCTTCCATTCCTTAGACTGTTCCTTTGTCTCAGGATCATAACAGTAGATCCATGTCTCATCACCAGTTAGTAGTTTGCCCAGGAAATCTGACTCATTTTTTGCAAAATGTTCCAAAACAGCCACCGACGACTCCACACATTTCCTCTTTTGTTCGGTTGTCAAAAGTTTGGGGATTCACTCTGCTGCTAGCTTTCTCATTTCCAAGTCATCATGGATAATGGCAACAACTCTTTCACATGATATTCTCAGATTTATAACAATACTTTTGGCTGATATTCGGCAGTCCTCCATGATCATATCATGGACAGCATTCACATATGCAGGCACAGAGAAAGAAACAGGCCTTCCACTGGGTTTCTCACTTTCAGCACCGAAATTGCCAGTTTAAAAATTGACAACTCAACATTTAACTGTTGTATATGAAGGGCCACTGTCACCCATAGTTTGTGACATTTCATCATGGATCTGCTTTGCACCTTTCCCTTGGAGAAACAGGAACTTGATTATGGTCCTACGCTCTTCCACACTGAACTTTTCTGGAGGTGCTGTTCACTTTGGACCTGAACATGAAAAATAAGTTAAAATCATAGGTAGTTGATTTTTGCACCATTGAATACAGACAAATTGGCCAATACACCCTGCAATTTATAGATTCCTAGCTCAATTTTTTCTGGGAAAGGCTCAATATTTATCAGCACCCCCTTGTACAGTTTTCAGAAACCCTAGCTAACTAGTCAATTGTTAGGGTTTCTGAAAATTATATTCTAAGAATATCTGGAGCTCAGAGTTTGGGGGCCTCTCCTCTAGCAAAAGAGAATCTAGATAACATTCTATTTTAGGACAGGGCCCACATGTCTTTCAGCAGCTCTTTCCACATGGCATTTCCCCTGTACAATTTATAGAAATATTTGCATTAAAATGTATTTCAAATCTACTAATTGGTTAATAAGAGGAAATATAAAATAAATCAAAAGCAATACAAATAGTGTTTTTAATGGATCTATTTGATCAATCAAGAGGGTCTTCTCTAGTCCAAATCTCGCAATTACAAAATAACAGAAGTTTGTACACTCAAAAATATGTATGCATTTTCAGGAAAGAGAATTACTGCACCATCTTTTTACTTTGTGGCAATTATTTAAATGAGTTCTTACAGGCTAAAATCCTGTTGCTCGGTATAGTAAGTCATTACAAGAATAGATCCACTGAATCAGTACAGATTTTCTGAATAAGTTATATTGCTTCAATGGGCCTACTCTACTGTGAGGAGAAAGACACTACCACCAGGGCCCCAGTGAGCTAGCTGTCTCCACTCTCCCCTGAGCGGGGAGAATTTGAGATCATTAGCTCAAATGGGACATAGGAGTAATAAATATATACACGTACTGTATATGTATATCTTTCCCCAACGTGGACCCCTCTAGGTTCGCACTGGACTGCCATTTCCCTTCTCCCCTGCCATGTGAAATGGCTCAGGTCAGGGAAAGAAAAGATTACGTATTTCTTATGCCTTTTGAAAATTGTTATAGTCCTGACTATACAGGATTTGCCAAAGCACTTTTCCACACTTACTTTCGAGATGAGCTGAACTGTTGGAATTGGCATTTTCAATCACTCTTAGTAAAGGGATGTCAACAACAAAAAGCACCACTTACAGCAGGCATGGCAGCGATGAAGTTGAACAAGTACCTCTTGAAATCTTTTCTACTGCGGCCAATGATAGCACTGCAAACCACCACATGCAACATGTTAGTGGCAAAAAGAAGCAAGACCCATCCCACAACAGATCCACAAGGCAAAGTGGAAAGGCTTTTAAGATGAACATAGGACAAGGTCAACAAGAAGAACACCAGGACTTTATTTTTACCATACAGACATTACACAGATGTGCAGCCACATCTGCTGACCAAATGGCCTACTGAAACCCATTCACCTTCTCCTTGTTCCCAGTACAACCCTAATACAGATAACATACTGGCTGTTAAGAGCTGAAGGGCTACAGGTTTCCAGACAGAATTTTTCCCCTCTGAGGAAGTCTTTGCATGTTAAAAATACAGAGTTGCCACTGAACAAACTCACTGTTAAATTCTACCTTTCCATAATGCCCAGTTAAATTCACACTAAATCTTGATATCATTGTGGTAGATGCTTTCCTGTCATCAGCTTTTGCTGCAAGGAAATATATTTCACAGTGACACCAGGATATGAAGTAAGACAGATGCTGTGAAAAAGATAGGTGGGACTCCCTATCTTTTAATCCGTTGTTCTAGCACAAGAATTGAAGGGGGTCAGGAGTAATTTATTTTGTGCTTTCCTCAACATAAGTAAAGGGCTTTCGTTGGAAATGGTAGAAAGCAACAGTGAAGACCACCAACACCATTCAGCACAACTTGTAAGAACATACATTCTGAAGCAATTAAGATGAATATGAAAGAGACATAGGAGCATTGTACATTGCAACAATTTAGTTGACATGGTTCAAACTAAATCTTTTAAAGCAATAAACCACTGGAGATAAAAAGCAAATTGCTTCAGTTATGCATCAGTTATGAGCATAAATGTAGTAGATGCATGCTAGTATTTCCAATATCTGTTTACCAGTGGAATGGAAACTACAAATTTAAGAAAGAATTTCTTGAATAGCGACAGATCCCTGCTTACGATTGCACTGCAAGAAAAAAATGTACACAGTTTAACAACTTTGCTACTAATCATCTAGACTGAGTTTCTATTTTATAATTTTACAGTACACAACCGTGTGGCAGCTATAACTGCAAATGTGAGACAGACAAGAGAATTGATTTTAACAAAGTACAGAATGTGTAACATTAAAAAGAATTTTATTTTTATAAACATTACTTTTGGACAGAGTACAAGAATACTTGAAAAAGCCCTCTAAATAAATATTTTTTAAAAGTAAGTTTTGAAACTAGGGAAAAAGGAACTAGCAAAACCTCAAGAGTATTTTATTTTCCAGAAATCCCTCAGATAAATTATCTGGGTTCTCACTTCTGCCCACATTATTACACTGTACTTACACAGAGAAATAATATATCCTGGAATATGTTTTGCACATCAAATAAAGTTACAAACAGATTTTAAAAAGCTCATCAACTACATAATGATATTACATCTTTTTCTCCCCCTCCCCCACATCAAGTTTAATTTCAATACATTGCAGCTTCTCTGACCGAATAATATTTTTAATGGAAAGCGAAGGTTTCTTGCTACAATGATACACAACAAACTTCATGGTCAAGTTTGTTGACCATGGTTGTTCTCTGTTTCCTTTATGCCTGGAAACCACTACATGCCATTAAAAATGAAACAAGTCATTACATTTACATGGCTAAGCCAAAAACCATCCATTTGGATGAGAAATAAGTTTACGGAGATCAAGATCTTATCTTCATGCAAGAGAAACCAACAGCAGGAAAAGCATATATATGAAACTTACCTCTCAATAACTGTCCCATTCTGAATCATCCAAATGTCACAATATGTGCGAAGTATCAACATCATGGCAATTAGTACCAAATAACCTGTCTAATAAAAGAAAAGTAAGGAAAGGATACTCAGAGACTGCATTTTAGGATTCTGCAGTTAAAAAAAAAGCCCATAAACTTTTAGAGATCTTTTAGCCACAAAGGATAGGCACAAATCTAATTTTCATCAATTTTCTAGGAAGCTCTTGGTCCAGTTCCTCAGGCTTCGAACGCACTGCAGATACAGCCTCTACTAAGTTATGCTGCATATTTATTTATTTATTTATTTATTTATCTATCTATCTATTTATTTATTTATTCTTACTTACTTATTTATTTATTTATTTATTTATTTATTTATTTATTTATTTATAACATTTTCTACCACCCCACTTACTGAAAATCCACAATGTCGGCAATGCCATGAAGGGGTGCCCACTTGGACTTAAAAATAACAATTTTACTCATCTGATTGAGTTCTCTAACTAGCCCTTGCTAGACTGCAAAGGTCCCCTGCAAAGGGGACTGGAATGCAACAACAATGAGGATAATATGCTATAACGTCAGTCTCTTCTTTTGCACATACTAGGCATACTGCTAAGTACACTACTTTCGCCAAAGGTAGTATTTTCTCCTATTATGTGCAGAAATTCAAATACATTTATGGTTATTTCTACAACTCTTCTCAATAGGAAAGCAAAGCAACAATAAAAGCAACACAAACAACATTGACAGTGGCAAGCCTTAATTGTACCCATACTACATTGGGTACATGCAACATAATGCTGCCTTTGGAATACATTTGGACACCTCATTTGGTCCAATATGCAGATGAAGAGGTTTTAATCAGTACTCACTGTAAAGCATGTAAGGTCAACACTGCATCACACCTGTTGATTTCCAATTTTTTTCTGAAACAACTTTAAAGTGTTTGTGGTTGTCTCTAAAGTTTTAAACTGACAGGTAGTATAGCTGAAACTTCTTTTTATAATAGGAATCCAGATCTTTGTCTGAGGCACTGCTTTTTAACTAATAAACATTATTTGAGATGATGCAGATGGCTACATAAGACAGGACCTCATCTTGCTCATTTGTCTTCAACACACTTTCGTTGCAGCACATTGCGATTATCATTGTGATAATCTTCTGGATGGCTTTGAGGAGAATGATAAATTTGCCATAATCTGAGTTGCTAGTGATCACACAACTCCCTGCTGCATTAGGTTGTATGATAAGTTGTGAGGTCTTCTGATGTTTTTTAGGATTACAATATGTTGATTTAATTTTTTTATTTATGGTTTTTATACTGTCATCATCTCCCTTAAGGAAAGCAATTTAACATAATTTAACAAAACAATATTTACTATACTACTATTTGAAAAGACACAAATACAAGACCCGTTTGGGGACTTGTGAAGAGCCACTCTTAAGACTTATGAAAGTCAACCTTTTGTGAAATTAAATAAAATGCTTAAAAGGCATTTTAAACCTGAATTAAGCAGGTCTATCTAAATGAAAACTCCATAAAGTACACTCTTCATCATACCCAAAGCCATACTCCATATATTCATAAAAACTAATGTGACATCAGTCCTGCAGTTTCTGATCATACAGTATAACGTTCACGGAGATAGACATAAATTGAAGTGCATGGTTCTAAAATTTTTAAGTACCAGTTTTATTAGGAATAACATACTGAAACAGAAACTAAAGTGACTACATTGAAACAGTTTGGTATTAATGACAATGGCAAAATACCTCAGTTTTCAGAACTGTGAACAAGCAAGAGCAACATGAGGCAGGCTGATAGTTCCGACATTTGAAACTTACCTCTTTACAAAATGTTCTAGGGACCATAATTTTCAGGATTTGGCATATTCTTGCAAAAAATACTCTGTCTACTACAGCTCGCTCTTTCTTGATTTCCTTCTGCATGTGAAAACATTAGACAGTATATTAAGATTTTGAATCTATTTTGATCACCTGAATACAATGGGGTCTCGACTTACGAACGACCCCACTTGCGAACAATTCAACTTACGAACCCGCCCTATAGGGGAAATAAGGACTCGACATACAAACTTCCCTCGAGTTACAAACAGGGAAAAAAGTGCCCTCTCCCTCTCCTTAGAGGCTTCTGGAGGGGAAAAAAGGGTCAGAAACTTTAAAATAAATTAAAGAAAGTCACTTACCAGGCCTTGGTAGCCCCCAAACAGCAGGAAAAAGAGCAGGAAACAGCTAAAAGCCCACACCAGAAGGGAGCCTATCAGCTATTTTGTGCTCCCCCCCCTCCGTCCTGCACCCTCCTCTCCCCGCCTATCAGCTGATCGGCTGGCTCTGAAGAGGCTTGGGGAGGCTTCTTCCGCACCTAAAAAGCCTGCCTGTGTGTCTTTGTGCTGAAAAAATCAGCACAACATGCTTTAAAACATGATTTAAAATTGGCTTCAGTAAAAAAAAAAGATTTCTAAAGTGCTTTGCAAACTGCTCCCTGCCTTCCTCCGTTTCCTGAACCTAAGGGAAAAAAAAGAAAAAATATCCCCCTCTAGTGGCAGAAGGCAGAATAGCAGCTTCCCATTAGTTTCTATGGACGGAAAAGAGCAGATACAGATTAAATGGTTTTTAATGCATTCCTATGGGAAATGCAGATTCGACCCAAGAACTTTTCGACCTATGAACCACCTTCCAATACGGATTAAGTTCGTAACTCGAGACCCCACTGTATAGGATATTAGATTACAGAAAACAAAGCTGAAGCATTGTACGGGAATTTTTATCACCAGACTCCTATATCTTTGAAAAATATAACCTTTGATTTTTCCAAAAGGGGACAATGTTTGCCATACATTGTTTGTTATATCTTCTGGTTGTATCAAATGCTATACTAGTAGCAAAGGTACTGGAGATCCCATGTTCACTTTTGTTATTTGGGTGGGCAATCTGGTTCTCTTCCAACATTGTTTGACAGGAAATAACATCAGCTTAACCTGCATAGCTAAAAGTGAGGATTAATGCAAGCTGTAGTGCACCACACAGAGGGCTGTGCATTTTCCATTCCATGTTAGCACAGCAATCATTGATGGAGCAACTACCCTGTTGCTGTAGCCAGAATCTGGAACCCCCTCCCACAGAAGACCAGACTGGCCCCATCTTTGCCGTCCTTCTGGGGCCAGTCTGGTCTTCTGCCACCTTTCTCTTCAGACTGGCATTCTCTTTATGACTGATGCTCTAAGAGGGTTTTTTTTAATAGAGTGTTGTACCTTATTGCTTTGAATGTTTTTGGTCTTGATTTTATTTACTGGTTTTTAGTGTAGTATTTGTTTGCTTCTTTCTTAATATTTGTATATGTATTGTTTTTAGCTTTCAAATATTTTCTTTTAATGATGTACGCCAACTTGTCTCCTTTTTAAGGGGAACAGCGGGGTAAAAATATTTTAACTAACTAACTAACTAACTAAAAGGACTTGCACAAATGGTAAATGCACTTTGGAATGACACTGCTGAATATGTTTCTACTACTATATCAGTCATTAGTGCTTTTTCTGAATGCATGCAATAAGCATGAAGCACCACCCTGCTATATATAATCTGTTCAATTAAAATACAAAGAAGGAAAAGCTTGAAGCAACAGATTGCAGCCTTCCCAATCTGTAAACCTACTTTTCCCCCTCAGGTTAAAAAAAGAAGCAGTCTAGGCTGACATTCAACATTGCAAACTCTACTGCTTATTTCCAAGAAATTGTGCTCCTCTTTTCCAAATGTGTTGAGCGGGAGAGGAAATGTGCAATTTCTCCTTTTCCAAGCATTAGAATCCACAGAGAGGTCCTTGTGCACCTCAGAGAGAGAACTGTGAAACTAAAACTGTAGTAATCCTACAAGCTTAAAAACTGGTGGTATGCATAAGCTTGCCCAAGAGGATATTTCATCTGTGAAATAATTATTCCTGGAGAGAAATGAGTAGAAATTATGAAGTAGTAGTTAAATTTATCAACTATACTTGTGGTGGGTTTTTTTCCTCTGTCTACTACTCTTGTTTCTGTCTTTACACTAAAAAATAGAGCTGAAGGTATCTTGTAAACATCTTAAAAGAACAAGAACAGGTAAAACCACATTTAGACCAGACCAGCGTGCCTGCGTGAGGAGGAAGCCAGAGACTATCGGCTGGCCACAGCCACTGGGTGAGAGGCAGTGGACTGTGGTTGGGCCCCTGCTGGATGCCAGCTCTCTTTCCCAGGAGAGCTGCTCGGTCCCCTCTGTGTCCTCAGGACCAGGCCCTGCTGCTCCAGGCTGCCTCATTCCCTTTGAACACCAGCCACCTGGCCTAGGGAGAGAGAGAGAGCTCTTAGCCAGAGCTGCCTTTGGGACCTGACCAGACCAGCATTGCCTGCGTGAGGAGGAAGCCAGGGACCATCGGCCGGCCACAGCCACTGGGTGAGAGGCAGTGGACTGTGGTTGGGCCCCTGCTGGATGCCAGCTCTCTTTCCCAGGAGAGCTGCTCGGTCCCCTCTGTGTCCTCAGGACCAGGCCCTGCTGCTCCAGGCTGCCTCATTCCCTTTGAACACCAGCCACCTGGCCTAGGGAGAGAGAGAGAGCTCTTAGCCAGAGCTGCCTTTGGGACCTGACCAGACCAGCATTGCCTGCGTGAGGAGGAAGCCAGGGACCATCGGCCGGCCACAGCCACTGGGTGAGAGGCAGTGGACTGTGGTTGGGCCCCTGCTGGATGCCAGCTCTCTTTCCCAGGAGAGCTGCTCGGTCCCCTCTGTGTCCTCAGGACCAGGCCCTGCTGCTCCAGGCTGCCTCATTCCCTTTGAACACCAGCCACCTGGCCTAGGGAGAGAGAGAGAGCTCTTAGCCAGAGCTGCCTTTGGGACCTGACCAGACCAGCATTGCCTGCGTGAGGAGGAAGCCAGGGACCATCGGCCGGCCACAGCCACTGGGTGAGAGGCAGTGGACTGTGGTTGGGCCCCTGCTGGATGCCAGCTCTCTTTCCCAGGAGAGCTGCTCGGTCCCCTCTGTGTCCTCAGGACCAGGCCCTGCTGCTCCAGGCTGCCTCATTCCCTTTGAACACCAGCCACCTGGCCTAGGGAGAGAGAGAGAGCTCTTAGCCAGAGCTGCCTTTGGGACCTGACCAGACCAGCATTGCCTGCGTGAGGAGGAAGCCAGGGACCATCGGCCGGCCACAGCCACTGGGTGAGAGGCAGTGGACTGTGGTTGGGCCCCTGCTGGATGCCAGCTCTCTTTCCCAGGAGAGCTGCTCGGTCCCCTCTGTGTCCTCAGGACCAGGCCCTGCTGCTCCAGGCTGCCTCATTCCCTTTGAACACCAGCCACCTGGCCTAGGGAGAGAGAGAGAGCTCTTAGCCAGAGCTGCCTTTGGGACCTGACCAGACCAGCATTGCCTGCGTGAGGAGGAAGCCAGGGACCATCGGCCGGCCACAGCCACTGGGTGAGAGGCAGTGGACTGTGGTTGGGCCCCTGCTGGATGCCAGCTCTCTTTCCCAGGAGAGCTGCTCGGTCCCCTCTGTGTCCTCAGGACCAGGCCCTGCTGCTCCAGGCTGCCTCATTCCCTTTGAACACCAGCCACCTGGCCTAGGGAGAGAGAGAGAGCTCTTAGCCAGAGCTGCCTTTGGGACCTGACCAGACCAGCATTGCCTGCGTGAGGAGGAAGCCAGGGACCATCGGCCGGCCACAGCCACTGGGTGAGAGGCAGTGGACTGTGGTTGGGCCCCTGCTGGATGCCAGCTCTCTTTCCCAGGAGAGCTGCTCGGTCCCCTCTGTGTCCTCAGGACCAGGCCCTGCTGCTCCAGGCTGCCTCATTCCCTTTGAACACCAGCCACCTGGCCTAGGGAGAGAGAGAGAGCTCTTAGCCAGAGCTGCCTTTGGGACCTGACCAGACCAGCATTGCCTGCGTGAGGAGGAAGCCAGGGACCATCGGCCGGCCACAGCCACTGGGTGAGAGGCAGTGGACTGTGGTTGGGCCCCTGCTGGATGCCAGCTCTCTTTCCCAGGAGAGCTGCTCGGTCCCCTCTGTGTCCTCAGGACCAGGCCCTGCTGCTCCAGGCTGCCTCATTCCCTTTGAACACCAGCCACCTGGCCTAGGGAGAGAGAGAGAGCTCTTAGCCAGAGCTGCCTTTGGGACCTGACCAGACCAGCATTGCCTGCGTGAGGAGGAAGCCAGGGACCATCGGCCGGCCACAGCCACTGGGTGAGAGGCAGTGGACTGTGGTTGGGCCCCTGCTGGATGCCAGCTCTCTTTCCCAGGAGAGCTGCTCGGTCCCCTCTGTGTCCTCAGGACCAGGCCCTGCTGCTCCAGGCTGCCTCATTCCCTTTGAACACCAGCCACCTGGCCTAGGGAGAGAGAGAGAGCTCTTAGCCAGAGCTGCCTTTGGGACCTGACCAGACCAGCATTGCCTGCGTGAGGAGGAAGCCAGGGACCATCGGCCGGCCACAGCCACTGGGTGAGAGGCAGTGGACTGTGGTTGGGCCCCTGCTGGATGCCAGCTCTCTTTCCCAGGAGAGCTGCTCGGTCCCCTCTGTGTCCTCAGGACCAGGCCCTGCTGCTCCAGGCTGCCTCATTCCCTTTGAACACCAGCCACCTGGCCTAGGGAGAGAGAGAGAGCTCTTAGCCAGAGCTGCCTTTGGGACCTGACCAGACCAGCATTGCCTGCGTGAGGAGGAAGCCAGGGACCATCGGCCGGCCACAGCCACTGGGTGAGAGGCAGTGGACTGTGGTTGGGCCCCTGCTGGATGCCAGCTCTCTTTCCCAGGAGAGCTGCTCGGTCCCCTCTGTGTCCTCAGGACCAGGCCCTGCTGCTCCAGGCTGCCTCATTCCCTTTGAACACCAGCCACCTGGCCTAGGGAGAGAGAGAGAGCTCTTAGCCAGAGCTGCCTTTGGGACCTGACCAGACCAGCATTGCCTGCGTGAGGAGGAAGCCAGGGACCATCGGCCGGCCACAGCCACTGGGTGAGAGGCAGTGGACTGTGGTTGGGCCCCTGCTGGATGCCAGCTCTCTTTCCCAGGAGAGCTGCTCGGTCCCCTCTGTGTCCTCAGGACCAGGCCCTGCTGCTCCAGGCTGCCTCATTCCCTTTGAACACCAGCCACCTGGCCTAGGGAGAGAGAGAGAGCTCTTAGCCAGAGCTGCCTTTGGGACCTGACCAGACCAGCATTGCCTGCGTGAGGAGGAAGCCAGGGACCATCGGCCGGCCACAGCCACTGGGTGAGAGGCAGTGGACTGTGGTTGGGCCCCTGCTGGATGCCAGCTCTCTTTCCCAGGAGAGCTGCTCGGTCCCCTCTGTGTCCTCAGGACCAGGCCCTGCTGCTCCAGGCTGCCTCATTCCCTTTGAACACCAGCCACCTGGCCTAGGGAGAGAGAGAGAGCTCTTAGCCAGAGCTGCCTTTGGGACCTGACCAGACCAGCATTGCCTGCGTGAGGAGGAAGCCAGGGACCATCGGCCGGCCACAGCCACTGGGTGAGAGGCAGTGGACTGTGGTTGGGCCCCTGCTGGATGCCAGCTCTCTTTCCCAGGAGAGCTGCTCGGTCCCCTCTGTGTCCTCAGGACCAGGCCCTGCTGCTCCAGGCTGCCTCATTCCCTTTGAACACCAGCCACCTGGCCTAGGGAGAGAGAGAGAGCTCTTAGCCAGAGCTGCCTTTGGGACCTGACCAGACCAGCATTGCCTGCGTGAGGAGGAAGCCAGGGACCATCGGCCGGCCACAGCCACTGGGTGAGAGGCAGTGGACTGTGGTTGGGCCCCTGCTGGATGCCAGCTCTCTTTCCCAGGAGAGCTGCTCGGTCCCCTCTGTGTCCTCAGGACCAGGCCCTGCTGCTCCAGGCTGCCTCATTCCCTTTGAACACCAGCCACCTGGCCTAGGGAGAGAGAGAGAGCTCTTAGCCAGAGCTGCCTTTGGGACCTGACCAGACCAGCATTGCCTGCGTGAGGAGGAAGCCAGGGACCATCGGCCGGCCACAGCCACTGGGTGAGAGGCAGTGGACTGTGGTTGGGCCCCTGCTGGATGCCAGCTCTCTTTCCCAGGAGAGCTGCTCGGTCCCCTCTGTGTCCTCAGGACCAGGCCCTGCTGCTCCAGGCTGCCTCATTCCCTTTGAACACCAGCATGGCTTGCAGACAAAGGGCCTTTTCGGCAGCTGCCCCCAGACTATGGAATGCCCTCCCGACTGAGATTCATCTGGCGCCGACACTGATGACATTTCGGCGCCAGGTCAAAACCTTCCTGTTCCACAAGTCTTTTAACTGAAATAATATTAACTGTGGGTCTGATGGCAATTTTATATATATTTTAATTGTATTTTAATTGTACATATCTTTATTGTATTTTAAATGCTGTAAGCCGCCCAGAGACCTTTGGGTAGTGTGGGCGGCATATAAATTAAATAAAAAAAAATTTAGCTAAAAAACGTAGCTTATTTAAATATTGCACCCAAACTGAGGACGGGGAAAGATAGATTGTTTTACTTCTGCTTGAACTCAGTAAAAACTCAATACTGTACCAATTTTCATGTTTTGAACAGTGTAATGTAAGTAACATATCACAGCTGCTGAAATATTTGGACCCAAAGGAAAACTATTATGAAATGTTAAAACTCGTTTTTCTTTTTGAAAATATACCCAAATAAAGACATCACACTTGGACTTTGTTTTCAAATTAAAAATTAAAAGCAGAAAAATTATTTGGCAATGCTGGCTACAAGGAACATGGATAGGCAAAAAATATCCATATAGCCCAAGACGTTTTAAAGTGTTGTGAAATAGAACAGCATCATTCTTTCTTGTACTCATGATTCCTTACATAAACTCTTCCACATTTAGAAGATACAATTTACAAAAGCCACAGAAAAGCGTGTTAGAAACAATTGCATTTTACCTGATCTACCCCTATTGGGATGCAATTCTATATCTACTTACCTAGTAACTCTGTGGGACTTCTGGGTAAATATAAACAGACCAAACTGTCCATGAATGCCACTTACAGACAACAGGTAGTGCGTTTTACCATTTCATAAATTTAGTGATCTATCTTCTCCCTTACTATTGTTTACTGAACATACAGTCATGGCCAAAAATATTGGCACCCTTGCAATTCTCTCAGAAAATGCAACCCTTCTCTCAGAAAACTGCTGCAGTTGCAAATGTTTTGGTACTCACATGTTCATTTCTTAGGCTTGCGTTGGAACAACACACAAAAACACAGAAAAGAAAAGTCAAATCTGATACAATCCCACACAGAAACCCAAAACTGCACTGGCCAAAATTATTGGCACCCTTAACTTAGTATTTGGTAGCACCCCATTTGGAAAAAAGAACTGAAATCAATCGCTTCCTGTAACCATGAATGAGTTTCTTACACCTCTCTACTGAAATTCTGGACCACTCTTCTTTTACAAACTGCTCCAGGGCTTTCAGATTTGAAGGATGCCTCCTACCAACTGCTGTTTTGAGATCTCTCCACAGGTGTTCCATGGGATTCAGATCTGGACTCATCGCGGGCCATTTTAGAACTCTCCAGCACTTTATTTGTAACCATTTCTGAGGGCTTTTGGAAGTGTGTTTCTGGTCATTGTCCTGCTGGAAGACCCATGACCTCTGGTGGAGATACAGCTTTCTGACACTGGCCACTACATTGCGCCCCAAAATTCTTTGGTAATCATCAGATTTCATGATACCATTCACACAGACAAGGCATCCAGTGCCAGAAACAGCAAGGAACCCCAAAACATCTTTGAACCTCCCCCATGTTTGACTGTACTGTGTTCTTTTCTTTGAGTGCCTCATTTCTTTTTCTGTAAACAGTGCCATGATGTCCTTTACCAAAAAGCTCTACTTTTGTCTCATCTGTCCACAGTATGTTCTCCCAAAAGGATTGTGGTTTTGTCACATAAGTTTTGCCATACTTGCTTTTTTATGCCTTTGTGTCAGCATTGGTGTCCTCCCGGGTCTCCTTCCATAGCGTCCCTTTTCATTCAGATAGTGATGGATAGTGCGAGCTGACACTGTTGTACCCTATGTCTGTAGATCAGCATGAATTTGTTGGGAAGTTAATCTGGGTTCTGTATCCACCATTCAAACGACCCTTTGTTGTAATTTTTCAGTAATTTTGCTCTTCCATCCATGTCCAGGGAAGTTAATTACAGTGCCATGGGCTGTAAACTTCTTGATGCTATTGCACACAGTGGACACAGGAACATTAAGATCTCTGGAGATGGACTTGTAACCTTGAAAATGTGCATATTTTTCCACATTTTTTTCTCTCAAATCCACAGACAACTCTTTACACTTCATTCTTTTCTCCATGCTCAGTGTCACACACAACACAAAGGTTGAGTCAACTTTTCTCCATCTTAACTGGTTGCAAGTGTTATTACTATATTGCCCACACCTCTTACTTGCGACAGGTGTGTCTAAATACAAATTAAAGGAGCATCACATGCTGGAAAAGTAATGATTTCTTACAATTTAGACAGGGTACCTATAATTTTGGCCAGCGCATTTTTGGGTTTCTGTGTGGAATTGTATGAGATTTGACTTTTCTTCTCTGTTTTTGTGTTGTTCCAATGCAACCCAAAGAAATGAACATGTGAGTACCAAAACATTTGCAACTGCAGCAATTTTTCTGAGAGAAGGGTTGCATTTTCTGAGAGAACTGCAAGGGTGCCAATATTTTTGGCCATGGCTGTAACTATGACAATAATGCATAACAACCATCGGTTCTGTATCGTTTAAATCCAGTAAGACTTACCTCATTACTGGATACTGTTTTTCCACTTTTCTTTCTGTAAATGAAAACATTTTATTCTTTTAATAAACAAACTTTAATTTGATGAAAAGTTGTTAATGAGACAACAAATAAAAAGATCCACCTAGAGAAGTTATTTCATTGTTAGGTAGAGCAAGAATACACAGCACTTTTGGAAGTGAAAGCAGTTTGGTACAATCTAATTTCAAAGTTGCAATCTAGTTGCAAAGAAAGAGCTAAAACAAGTCTTCCCAAAATATATTTCTGAAATTATAATATTTAACAGGATTACATTTCCAGTATATACTATATATCTCTTATGTAAATAACATGGTTCTTATGCTTAAGCAACAACATCCATAGCACTTGCCTAACACTACTGATATAAGTGCAACGTTGCACAAGAGAGCCAGAGACAAGAGACTGAAATCAATCCAGAAAAAAATAGGTCCATGCATAGTTGTTAAATTCAATGGGCATCCTAACTGATGTGACTAGATCTTCCTGGGTGAGAGATTTAGAAAATAGCTCTAAGTGGTGTCTCCAATGACTATCAAACAGATAGCTCAGCCTCAGATCTCTCTCCCAGACACCTCACCCCACCCAAGCGAAAATCTCCATAGTGGTTTCCTTTCCAAAGTCAGAACCCTACCCTTGACCGGGGGGGGGGGNNNTAGAAGTGAGCTGGGAATGTTTCCCTCAGTAGAAGTCAGGCAATGCTAGTCCTGAAACTGACATAACTTATTTCCTTCTCATAGATTGGAGTAGGAAGGAAATACTGTTTTCAGGTGGAAGATTTCCCCAAAAAGGAGGTGGGCTGCCCCCTCCTCATGCAAGCAGGCATAGAACCAGATACTCCAATATTGGAGCACTCCAGAACTGCTTTGTTAGCCTTCCACAATTTGATTTCAACCAACAGAAGCATCAATTTATGGTTAAGCTGCAAACTTGTTTCTAAAGCACATTTTATTAGTTTTATCTTTGTGGTGTGCAATGAACAATTGTTACATTGCAAATAAACTTCTAAATGGAGATGTAGTTTTGACAAATCATCTAGAAAGAAAAAAGGGCACCATTTTTAGGCATATATGAAGGAACCTGTGCATACTACTCATATGATTCATTACACTGATAGATATTTATCTTTTTTTAATGGCCATATACCTGGAAAATGACATTCCAGACAATCTATACAGAAGAAACAAGTTCCACAAGCATTCATCTCACTGTTTCCAGACAGAGAACACTGTTTACAATCATGAAATGCCTTTTTATAATGTGTTTACACAGAACAAAAAGTAGATACTGTATATCACAGTAGACACTACCAGAGACCTTTCTATACTATTACAGATGAAAACAAAATAAAAATAAAAAGTAAAAAAAGACAAAATTGTGGTAGCATCTTAAAGACCAACATATATTTTTTTACATGAGCCAGGTAATTCACACACTTTGCAAATGATTACAAAGAGCAGCTTGTAGAAAAGTTCATCAACAACTGTAAACAGCCGATCTAATTAGCATTCATGTTACTCTGCCATTGTTAATTTATGAGGTTCTCCCCTTCTTTACAGGACAAAAAGCTTCTACTAAAGACCTGCATATCAAAGACACTATCATCACCCATTGATTTTCTCACCAATCAACCATGATCTCTGTAGTGACATCTGTACTGATGCCATGCATAAATAACTGCCATGTTATTACGCCTTCTCTTATGTCTGATGAAGTGGATTTGTCCACGAAAGCTCACCTCAAAAAAATCTAAAAGTTAGTCTTTAAGATGCAACCATGTTTTTTTAACCTTTTTTTGTTTTCACCTCTGATGCTTGCACAGATGAACACAGCTTCTTTTTCTACTACTCTCTATACCAGTGATGGCAAACCTATGGCACACGGGCCACAGCTGGCACGCGAAGCCCTTTCTTCTGGCACGCGACAAACCTTTTGAAGTGGCTGCAGCTGGGATTCCCTTTCTATTCCTGTTCTGGGTCCTTTAACTTCCGGTCCGCCCCCATGATTCCCCCTTTAACTTCCTGTCCGTCCCCATGATTCCCCCTGAAACTACCACTTCCTGTTCCGGGCGGCACGGCAGCCACTGGTTTCTTCCCCACCCCCTCATTTTGGGCACTCGAGCCAAAAAAGGTTTGCCTCCACTGCGACTAATATTATTTTTATTACAGACTGTTTTAACTCTGCTCTCTTTCTGGAACTAGAAAAAAGTTCTGCATATCAGGTTACCAGTGACTGTCAATTTGTTATTGTTATGAGTTTGATAAATGTCTAAGAAAATTTTAAAGCTCAGTTGAGTATACATATACACAAAACTAACAAGAGCAACAGCCCAGTCAGAGTTAGGTATTTCATGTTTGTCTGATTTGTCAGTCACCTTCATACATTAAAATGGGTCTTCAAATAGAACAAGAAGCAAGCACATGTCAAGGAGCTGCTTTTCCAGTGCTGCATGCTGCCAAAATAAGAATACCCTGCCTATGACCTACACATGTTGAGTTTAAAAATCTGAAGAGTCTCCATGCACGGTGCATTGTTATATTGAACTTCTTGTTTTGAGATCAGAGGTATTTTCATTTTCATAGATTATGCTTGATATATCTTTTCAAAAGATTAATTGAATCAACCACAATTGAACTTAGACACCAACTATCACTACTATACTGGATGATTCATTGACTGGATGATAACCCACATCCTGCAATATTTTTAACCAAATTATCCATAAGCAATAACCTGCCTTAAAATTAGCCATAATATTTAGATTACACTTCGGATCAAAACAAAACGTAACAATTATGTTTACAGAGGCAGGTGTGGGGGAAGAGTAAAGCACCCTATCAGGTGTGGAACGGCAGTATTGCACTGTGGTGAAAGAGCATTGGGAAATCTGTTCGGAATTTCTCACCGTTTTGCAGTTAATTGGCCAGTTTATCTGGGGCAACTGTGCAGCTCATTTAAATTTAGGAAGGTAGCTAGATTTGCTGATTAAGTACGCTTATAAGATGTAAAAGATAATGAACGGCATAACCTGAATTACTAGGTATGACACCTTCACAGAATTCTCAGGCAATGTCACCTGTAACATGTAAAGTGCATTTCAGTTGTGAATACAAGGTCTACTGATTTAATGAAGCTGTAGCTCTCTTTAATTTTTAATATCCTTTGGCAATTTGATTTCAATATTCTACTGTCCCATATTTTTCCAAGCAATAAAACTTATTTCTTCTCCCATATCAAATTCACACAATAATTTAGGTAGGCTCTCTTGACCTTCTACTTCCAGTAATATAAATTATATTTACTATATCCTTCACAACCTTGTTATCACCTTTGCTTTCTTTTTATATTTTATTCATATTTGATAAATTCCCTACATTTGCCACTGCCTATTATTCGTTGTCCACTTTTCTAATTGAATAATATTATATCACGACAATTCATCCTGACCTAACTTCTTTTGTTTTTTATTCTTTTTTTCCCTACCTTTAGCTCTTTTTAACTAATCTGTATCTGTACCATCATGATTAATAAATTTTTCAGGTAAGATCTTCATTTTATATGCCGCAATTCTACCAAACCATTACAGTCCAATTTTTAAGTCTTCAAACTTATTCATGGTTACTTGTTTCAATATTTTAAAATTTTCTTCTTTCAATTTTTCTAAATTACTTGGAATTACGTATACCTAAATTCAGTGGTGCATCGAATTACGAATGTTCCGACATATGACCATTTTGAGTTACGACCAGCTCCAGCTGCAAAATTTTGCTTCGAGTTACAAACAGAAAAAGGCAGGGGGAAAAGGCAGGGAATTCAAATTGCTAACCGTTGGTAGGTGAAGAGGCTGCTTCTTTGTAGCTCTTTCACGGTTAGAGTGTGCGCAATTGGAGGCGGCTTCGGACTGCCTAGTAAGGTAAGGTGCTGCTTTCTACTTCTTAAAAACTGTTCTTGGTGGGTTTTGCAGCGTGGTTTTGGGCTGGGTGGTAGGATTATGTTTCTATGCTGTGATGGGTCTTGCAGGGTTTGTTTGCTTTTGGGGTTTTTCCCCATTTCTGATCGGTCTTGCATGGTCTGTTTCCTTTCTGCTTTGCTTTTTTTTGCATTTCCGATGGGTCTTGCATGGTTTGTTTGCTTTCTGCTTTGCTTTTTTTGCATTTCCAAAGGTCTTGCATGGTTTGTTTGCTTTTCCTCCCCCCCCCCCTTTGGCCAGAACGGATTAACATCCCCAAGAGGCACAGGGGAAAATCAAACTCCCAGCCTCTGACCCCATAGCTACCTACCCAGCATCTTCTCTAATAAGAGTTCACTAATAGTTCTATAACTAAAGCCAACAATACAGAGGAAAGGAAACATGTCTAGTTCCTCAGCTTAGAGATATCTGTTCTGTTATTCCATCATTTACTAATATATCATTTACTATTCTCTAAATACTAATATATCATTTACTATTCTCTAAATACAATTGTTCAGTTACGTAATACTTTAATTATCATGTTTACTGCTGGACATTCCATCAAGTCTAATGCCATTAAATAAAAAAAATTAATGAAGTTGAACCTGCCGTAAGCTTTTGTTTATATATTCCATTTATTATATTTAACAGTCTCCTAGTCAGGACTACCATTTGCCTTCCAGGAATAAAGAAAGCTTGATATGTTTTAATATATTTAGTAATAAAATTACTCATTCTTTTTGCTAGTATAACCAAAAATATCTTTGCATCCTGAATTATTAGACTGATATGTGTATTAAATCTTGGGATCAGTGAGATCTTTATTCTTTTTAAAAATTAAATTAATTATCAATCGGTTGTTGTAGGTTTTTCGGGCTGACTCTGTCTAACTCCTGTGTTGCTACAGGAGTTAGAACTCTGTCTGGTTCTAACAGAGTTCTAATTCCTGTCCTCTGAAGATGCCAGCCACAGAGACTGGCAAAACGTTAGGAAGAAAAACCTTTAGAACATGGCCAAAGAAGCCAAAAAACCTACAACAATCCTCAGATCCCAGCCATAAAAGCCTT